TCGGAGCTTCTCGGAGTTTCTAGGGAAGGTCGCGGGGGACTACCACAACACCAAGCTGCCCCTAGACCGTGGACGACAACACCTGCAGATGCATGGGTAAGATGGTGGACGGCCCAGAGGACTGACGAGGAGGAGGTGGTAGAGGAGGAGGAGGAGGTGGGGCGCCCCCGTGCCAGGACTTTTCCCGGATCGGCCAGGAGGCCAGCCACCACGGCGAGAGGGGCAAGCTCTTCCAGGACGCCGTGGAGTTCATGCACCAGCTTCGCGCCAGGTTGCCCAAGCACCGCTTCGGCTTCCTCTATGAAAACGTCGACATGGACCAGGCGGCCGCTAAGTGATATCGGACGGGCTCGGGGTCCAGCCCGTCTTCGCCTGCCCCTCCGATTTCGGCTGGGTTTCCAGGCCGCGCCTCTGGTGGACCAGCGTGGACTGGACCAGGTTCCCGGCCGACCCCGACGACGGGACGCCGCTGGAGTGGGCCAAGAAGGGCAGGTGGGAGCGCCTGCGCCTCGCGTCCGCGAGGCGCTCGACGGACACCTTCGACTTGGGCGGCTGGACCTTTCACCCGTCCGTGGCGACGGGTCGGCGCCTCATGCCATGCGCCACTACGCCGGCACCTACAGAGGAGGGCCGGCCGAAGCCAAGGGCGACCAGAGGAAAGACGGATCTCAGGTTGTCTGGTTGCCAAGGTGTTTTGGGCAGCAACGTATGGCTTTGGGCAATCGGATTGGAGTTTTGGGTTGATGCGCATGTAGGAGCACAATTGAATTGCTGGGGCGTCTGCCAACATATTTCTGGATGCATTAAGAGAGCCACGAATACCAATTTCAACGGGGATCAACCTAATTACATCCTACACTGCCTGCATAGTCTAAACATGGGTTGTTTGCCGTATTGTCAACCCTGGCCTCGCGAAAGCAAGTTTATCGCTGCTGTGATATTTTTGCGCAGAAGGTTTTTGCTGAATGTAGAAAGAGGATCACTTGGGAATATTTGGGAGTGTATGTATTGGGTGTTGAGGTGGTGAGACCTTAGATTATGATAGTGGGCCTGGTCCATGCGGGCGTTTCGAAACTGTCCTAGATCTTCGCTTTCGGTTTGCTGCAAGGTGCGTACCAGACCTGCAGGCCAATATGTAATGTCATCCCTGTATCCCCCATATAACCCCTTTCAAGCCCTTTAACTATAGCCCCGTCACAACACTTGTGAATCTGTCCTCTATTTCGCTCTATCATGGCTGTCAGGGTATTTGGGAGCTCTGCTGTAGTTAGCCTCAAGTGCTGGAAGTTATGCATAGGGTCCGCGTGTGGGCACTTAACCCCAGATCAGGAAGAGGAAGGCTCCCCTTTCATGCAGCGCCTCGGCCACTCCAGCTAGATCAGCCAGCAACCCGCTCGTCCTGGCACCCTCCGTTTGCAAAATGGCAACTGCTTTCCTTCACCTGCTTGGAGTGACTTGGCATCAGGTTTCGCCTAGAAGCAACACAACAATCAACCATGGTGCGAGCCCGTATCTAAGGGAAAGGCCGTGAATGACCTGGCCAGTGCGGGCACGCTCGGGGCCAGCACAGGCCAAAGCCATTTCCGGGCTTAAACGTGAGCTCTATTGTAGCTCCCATGATTCGTAAGGTAAGCCGCGACCAGGCTCCGAAGGACTCGCATCACGGGAGGAGCAGGGAACGCTACTCCAAAGCTGTCGCCTAGGGTCACGCTGTAGCTGGGCTGGTCTTATGACCAAGCTTCGTAGGACTGGCCTGCAGATATGAAACCAGGTGCCACATGAGTGGGTAAACCCGGGGCCTGGTTTTGATTTGGGCCTTGGGCTTGATTTTTGATTGGTTTATAAATTGATTTTTGATTTATTGTGAACTGATGTTTGATTGATTTTTGATTGGCTTTTGATTGCAACTCCTGCAAGAGGCAGGGATTTCTTTGCAGGCCGAGCGGTCATCGACTGAGTTGACCGAGGCCATGCGATTCTCCCTGCAAGACCTGATAAAATTGCTGCCGTCGCCGCCAAACTTCCCAGGACGCTCTGTTGTTGCTGGCATGGTATGGCTGCCAAGCCGAGAAATCCGGCTCTCTGCAGCAGCTGGCGCCGCCTTGCGAAGCAGGTTGCTGAGCACACAGCACCAGAACCTGGCAAGCATCGACGACGAGGTGGAGAGGGTGGTCTTGGATGCGGTGTGCTCCTTGCGCGAACCTTGGACATGTGCGACATACACGGTTTACAAGCCCTTGACTTGCTGCTTGTCGTTTTTCCTTCCATCCAGACCATCATGACTCGTTGTTGGGCAGACATGGTAGACGATGAGGAGGCAACATCCGGGAATCCCCAGCCCTAGCAGATGTCTAGGCAGCGCATCTGCAACAGACATCCGTTTGCCGAAAATGTCAGCGTTTGGGATTGGTCGGCATTTCAACCAGACTACATCGCCACCCGCTGTCGTTTGACCCTTCTTACTCCCGTCCACGCCTCGCACAGGCTGCAGAATGCAGGCTCCTTCGAGATGATGGTCGTGAGCCATGCTGCTGATGATCTAATTTCGGCAGCCTCTCACCCAGGAGGCCGGCGCAGAAGAGAGATCGCGTCTTGGTCGGGGCATCTGGACATGCAGCTCAGATACTGATTTTTGATTGATGTTGAATTGATTTCTGATTGATTTTTGATTGATTTTGAATTGATTTTCGATTGGTTTTTGATTGGGTGAATGAAACAACCTTCAGAAAGAAGAGGGAAACAGCCACTCATGTAAAACCCTAAACCTGAAACACGGCCACTAAACTTAATAATACTAAACCCTAATCCCTAAACTCGAAAAACCTAAACCCTAAACCCTAGGACATGCTTCACAACCTGAGCCCGGATGGCCAAAAGCCCTTGGGTTGATTCAACAATATAGGGGCCTTCATAATTACCTATACTATTTTGGGGGTTCCTTATTTTAATTACAATACAACGTCGGTAGCAGGTTCCTAAGTACATGTAGGGTTTAGGCTGCAGGTTCAGGGTTCAGGCTGCAGGGTTTAGGTTGTAGGGTTTAGGGTTCAGGATTCCGGGTTTAGGGTTTAGGGATTTGCTAACATCATCGAACAGACGTCAAATCGCAATGCCGGCGAAACCTTGAGGTGAACCAATATCTTGAGTGGCAATAGATTGCCAGCGAAGACAGGCACATCATGAGCCTTCAGAGGGGTTCGTAAACCCTGAACCGCCAAGATACCTTGGCGAGTTTGTCGAGTGCCAACGACCAAAAAAACATCCGCTCAATAGATTGTCCATCCTGAACAAGGCGGCGATTATCTGGGCTTGTTCAAATGGAGCAGATTCTCAACTTGGTTTCATCTCGAGCAAGGTGGACTTGGGATACTTGGGCGCGGGCGCATGCTGTGCTCCTTTCACAAAGTGGCAGGAAGCATGTATGTGTCAGCGAGTCTTCAGAGTCAGGACTGTTCCCTGAGGGCCTAAGACGGCAAGAGTGTTCAAATTCAGTTTCCGAGTCGGTGATGCTCCCGTCACAGCAATACATAAACCGAACTCATCCTATTGTAGGAATTTCCCGCTCGTGACGGCAGTGAGCGAAGAAGCCCATAAAGCAACAAACAACCTAAACCTTAAAATTCAAGACCCCTAAACCCTAAACCCTAAACCCCCTAAACCCCTAAACCCTAAACCTCCACAGCCCAAAGCCCCAAAACCTCTAAGCCCCTATAAATAGGCCCTCAGGCCCGAGAGCCAAAATCCCAAAACGAACCTGCGGCGTCGCGCCTTGGGGTTGCAAGGCTCAATAATATAGGGTTTAGGGTTTAGGGGCCTTAATAATTAAAATATGGTTCCGGGGACAGGACTGGAGACCAGCCATTCGAGGCCAGCAGCCCTAGCGTCGGGTTTAAACAAGGGGTTTGGGGCTGTAGGGTGCCATTAAGTTCCTTTACGGCTTCCTCCAAAGGTTCTATAATGTTTCAGGGTTTGGGTTCTGGTCTTTTTTTGGGTTCAAGGTTAGGATGATCGGGCAACAGTGAAAGGCCTGAACGGTGCGCAATCACTTTTCTACGTTTTAGAGGATTATTTCAAAATCTATCTCATTCAGAAAGACCGCCCAAGCGCTCATCTGCGATTGACCCAAAATCCTAAAGTCCTAAACCCTAAACCCTATTCGACGATATGGGGCTGCTCCCCTTATCAAAGGGAGGTGCTTCTGGGAAAGAAGAATTGGCACACCGTTCTTTTTTCTGTTGAGATCAATTAGTCACACATACTCACTGAGTTTATTGAGGTGGAATTGTCGATTACTTGAAGGACATCACCCGCGATAAGTCCTCTCAGACCCACCTGCGACTTTTGTGGTGTTTCCTTGGTACTATTTGCTCGCGATCAACTTTGCTGCTAACAGTGCACAACGAGGGCCAACGATGATCACACTTGGTACACCCAATCCCATCTAGACGCCTCCGTACTCTGAGGCCAGTAAGAGCCGCAAAAGTTGTGGCCATGGACAGGGCTGTGGTCCGTGGTGCAGGGCATGGTGGACCAGCTCGTGCAACGCGGGAGCTGACGGAGCAGGGAGAGCGCTTTGCAGGTCGCCGTGGTGACCGACCTCCATGGACAAATGCATCTGGCCTGTCGTTTCTGCGTCTTTGTTGTTTGCTTATTTTTTTAATCTTCTTAAAGAAACCCTTATTTAAAAACCCTTATGATGATGAGCTCCGGGATAGAAGCCCTGAAAGAGGCCGGTATAGAAAACCCTCATAGAAATCTCTGCCCTTGAGCCCTAGACCCTAAACCGCTAAACCCCTAAACCCCTAAACCCTAAACCCTAAACCCTCAACCCCGCAGCCCTAAACCTTAATGCCCATCGCCGTTGTGCCCCGACAGCCCACCAGCCTTCTGCAACCCGTGATCCACAGGGTTTAGGGTTTAAGGTTAAGGGTTTAGGGTTTAGTGCTTCATAAGGCTTTGGGCTTAGGGTTTAAGGTTTAGGGTTTAGGGTCTCAAAAGGCTTAGGGTTCAGGGTTAAGGTTTAGGGTTTAGGGTTTGGGGTTTAAGGTCGAGGGGGGATGTCTACATCCCCCGAACTGCAACGCCAAACTTAGATAAATTGCAACACTTTTTCCTCTCTCATGGGACTCATAGAGCCGTTATAGGAAACTCTAGTTAACCACGACAAAGGCTTTAGGGTTTAGGGTTTAGACAATAAAGCCCTTGTATAAGGCCCCGCCATCAACATCAGGAGCCAAAAAGGCGACTATGCACGAACTGTTGGGTGGGACATCCTGACTTTCTTGGCTTAGTTAAAGAGAGGGTTATGGCATATCCCAACCCTCTGGTTCGTGTTTAGGCTTGAACCCTGAACTTCCTGAACCTCAACCCCTAAAAACATCCCAAAACGGAAACCCTTAAACCAGAAAGCCCTAGACTCCTAAGAGGCCTCCAACAAAAGTTCTAACACAACTCTTAAACCCCAGCCCAAATAGCCCAATACCCCTTAATTCAGGAATAGACCTTGTAAACTCGCAACCAGAAACCATTAAAACATCGCACCGAAAAATACAATCGCACCCTTAAATCCCAAAGCAATTCCCACTTCAAGGCGTTGTTAAGAGGCCCAGAAAGCATTCAAAACAGCCTTAAACCTAAACCCTAAGCCCTAAACCCTAAACCCTAAAACCCTAAACCCTAAAACCAAAGAAGTGTCTTTCTTTGAGAGGCCTAGCAGCGGCTACTTCAGCCGCCGGGCCCCAGGGGCAGCGGACCA